TTATTTGTTCTATTCAGATTCATATAATGTTACATTAGCTGTAAATGATGTTGGTGGTCAAACATTAGGTGGTGCTATGCTAGATAAATATATATACGGAGCAGATGTAAATTAGAATAATTCTATTATAATATATAGAAGTGTGTTTCTTTTTTTTGTTTCTATAGATTGTTTTACTTGTTTACGATGTAACAAATTTACAAAGTTTTGAAAATCTCGAAGATTGGTATTCTACAGTAATGAAATATTGTGCTGGTCGAAAACCATTATTTGCACTTGTTGGAAATAAAAGTGAGTCGATGAAAAATTCTTAAAAATCGCCATTGATACTTATAAGAATAAATGCTCTATTGTTTATCTCTATGGCATTTTATAATTACGAGGAAGAAATTGAAAAAGGATTATATCGAAAATATTTATTAGTTGATGAGATATAGAATTTTTAGTGGATTTTAGTTTTCAAGCAAAATTATATTTGACAAAGCCTCTGAGTCTACTAAAAATTCGATATCTCAGCAATAAAAATCCAACAACTTGAACTATTCTAGGATAATTATCTACTCACTCGTAGAGTCTGTCGGGTAGGGATCGAGTCCGGTACGGTGCCGGGTCCAAAAACTTTCGACCCAATGGGCTCTACTCACTTGGCTCTATTGATTGAATATAGTCTCAGTTTAAAAGTGATTTATCACTTGGAAATCTCTCTTCGCTAGATACACAAATTGAAGGTTGATTACATTTTGAAATGAGATTTTATATTCTAAATAATAATTTTTAGATGATCTTGAAAATTTACGTGCTGTTAAAACAGAAAAACATCATCAATTTGCTAAAGATCATGATATGATACCATTTTTTGTTTCGGCTAAAACTGGTGAATCTGTTGAAAATTTATTTCGTCAAGTTTCAGCTAATCTAATGCATATTGTTCTACCAAAAACTGATACTGATGCAAGAAGTATTATAACAGCAACAATTGTACGACAAGAACCACAAAATTTAACACCTATTAAACCTATGTCAACAAAATCGAATACTACACGTACATCAATCTGTAGTTTACAATGACTTTGCTTGTTTTTTAATTTTTAGTTATATATTTTGTGCAATTTAATTGAAAAATTTTTATTATAAAATTTAAATATTAAGATCTTAAAAGAAAAAAAATACTATTAAAATTTTAATCATATCTATAATAAATATTTGCTAAGATGTTATACTAATGATTAATTATTCCTTTCTTTTTTTTTTTTCTTCTCAAATTCAAGTCAGTTGGAAATCAATCTTTCTGACTACTATAAGTAGATCGTAGTTTTCACTTGATGTTATATACATGTAGATAATTGACAGGCCTGCCACCTCTTCTGCTTTTAGCAGAAAAATTCTGCTTTTTGAAGATTTTTCTGTCTTTTTTCTGTCGTGTTTGCTTTTTTTAATACTGCGAAATTTATATTTTTAACCAACATTTTTCATCTCACAGATCATTTTTTATGACTATAAAAAAGTCCTTATCAATAGTTACTAATCCATGTCCTCAAAATCGTCTCACTTTTGACGGTTCTCCGCAATTATATAAAAATTGCCGATTAATCGCTAGCATTTGATAATTATATCGTCGAAGTTTAGCATAAATGGCGATTTCTCTGTGAAAATTAGCAAAAATCGGCACTTTTTACGATTTATGGCGATATAATCTCACAATTAATCGGGCTAGCATACAACATATCGCGGTATAATCGGCGATTTTGATTTGACTGTTGACACAGGTAGTCTATATATGATCGACCTATTTCCTCAAAGTCATATGAGTTTTTCATTTTCGGTGTTTTTGTTGCGAGAATTCAAGAAAAATCGTCAATTTTTACGATTTATCGCGATATAATCTCACAATTAATCGCGCNATATTTTTTACCAATTTTCATCAATTAATAATTCTACTCTCTATTAAAAATTTTTAGATAATATTCAATATAATCATTTATGCATACGTTCGATATCAAATAAAAATTCAGTTGAATGATATTGAGATCGGTTGAGGTTTAATATATTGAAATTTGATTTACAAATTCTAGACTAGATAATTGATGAATCAATTAAAGAAATGAAAGTTTTATTTTTTCTATAGAATGATTTTATGCTATATTTAATTTGCAATATAATGACAGATGATAAAAATATCAAAAGAAACTATCTAGAAATAAGTAGGAAGTACTTAAAACTACACTATTTCTTATTATGATGAAAGGATTGGAACAATCATCTTTTTCAAACTTGACCAATCTCTAGATTTACAAATTTAAATTAATATTTACCTTCATTTTGATAATATATATATTGTGAATTATTTGACGTCTAGTGAGAAAAGAATTATGCTAAGACTTTTTCTGTCTTATTAGAAAACAATAAATGAATTCCCTTGTCTACTTATTTTAATTAATCTACTTGTCATATTCATCGATAAGATGTTACAAGTGTCTTTTATATCCCATCTGACCAGAAACATTTCCTTTCATCATTAGATACATACTATATTTCTAAAGGAAAACTTTTTGAAATATATATATATATACACTCAGTCGTTTTCTACCTAATACATTTTTGATAATTAAAAGTTAAAATCTGTATTAGAACATAATCTTCTGTCAATGCAAGTTTTATTAAGTCTTTAAAAAAAAAATGTCTATTCATTTTAGGTATATTCTTAAATAAAAAATTCACTCGTGTACACAATACAAACATTGATATTTTGTAAACATAATTTTCAAAATTATAATACATACAACAGATTTAAATGTATAACATGGCATTAGTTATAGATCCTCATTCATTTATGTTCAAACTTAATATTTATTTCTCTCCCGGAGTGCATCTATATTGTTAATGAAATTAAATATGATAGAGCAAATTGATATTGATTTCATTACGTGTATTCATACTATAGTCGTAGTCATTATGATCATCATCGAAAAAAGCACAGCAAGCAATCATTTCCGTTGATGACACCATTTACACCTGCTTATGAATGAATAACAGCAGCAGGTCTAATCGTTTCGTGTGACGATAGCAAATTATCATCATCGTTCATCGAGATCTTTATAGAAATAAATTCTTAACAATCAAAATTAATCAAACACTTCATCAAATGACAAAATAAATAAAAAAACACGATATCCGACGTTTCTGTTTTTGTTGTTGTCATAATGTACATTCTTGAATTTACAGAGTAATTCATTAGAGTTTTTCTTTTTTTTTTTTTTTTAGTTGTTGTCTAAGTAGTATGACATTAGTAGAAGAAAAGAATTCTAATCATTTGTGACTAGGTGAAATGTACTCGAGTTAAGCATGTTGAAACAAAGATGACGAGTGACACATACTGGTATATTCATCAAAATTTTCAAACAGATGTGATAGTGGTCATCGACAATATACGATAGAAATTGGTCACACATTTATTCAATAACAAAAAGCAAGTGCGAGACACATCAGCATACTTGCACAATGGATATGAAGTGTTCGTTTTCCGGTGATGGACAGTACGATTGAATCATATTTGTCTTAACAATTTCAAAAAAAAAAAAAGAAATACGAATGAATTGTAGAGCATTCTCTTTTTTTTTTCTTCTATTTGAATTCGAAAAAATAATTCACCTTTTTAAAATATTCTTTTACAATTGATATTTCTGAAAGATCTCAAATCAAATCTCATATTTTTCTTTTCTAAGAATTAATATTTTATGTATTTTCAAGTAGCCATCTTAACGTTCGGCAACTTTTATATTTAATTTAATTAGTCTAACATTCTCATGCATAGAGATCATCAACTATTATTCGTCTTTTTTCTCATCGTCCTACTTCGATGCTTTTTATTAAATTGATTTGATTCAAGATGCTTTTCGTTCTATGTATGTACTCTATCAATGAGTCCCAATGAGACGTTAGGATCATTTTATTAGAAAAGAATGAACATATTTGTCTTCAGATATTTAATAGCAATGACAAAGGCTATAATGTTATTGATGATTTGATTGGAAGAAAAATAAATGATGACATGTTTCTTCTCTTTTATTGCATGCATGACTTGTAATTTTCTTCTCGATTGATAAGCATCTTCAGTTTTTCTTCTTTTTTTTTTGTTTTTTATATTCAAATTGAAATAAAAAATCATGCTTTCTCGATCAATTAACAGTTAACTGTTCGATAGAAATGTTTCGCACAATAGACTCTTTTTTTTCTTCTTCTTCTTCTTCTCTTTAAGAGCAAGAGGTAGGACTTAAGGCATACATCACATTTATAAAGTGACAAATTTGATTAGACTTTTGATGAATCAAAAGATATGAAAAAAAAAAAAAGCATTTGATATGGTTAAAGAAAAAGAAAAAGTACCAATGATGTAAAAATCATTCAACCGTATAATAAGATCGTTATTAGCAATTAAAATAAAGAGAAAATGGGAAATAGTTATATGATAAATTGTTATTTAAAATGCATAATGAATTAATTAACTATATAAAATATTTCAAGGTCGTCAAAATTGACGAGAACTATGTTGATTGGAAAATATCTCAAGATTGAAGGTTACGCCAGCTCATGACATGTCTTTTAGAATGGTACAAATTTTTTAAACAAATTTCAATAGTTAATTGGAGAAATTATTAGTGTTTGTATTTTTCATCCAATGAGGATTTTATTCAAACTAATTTTCTTTTAACCAATCAAAAAACAAAAGAATAAAAAAACGTTTTTTTTTTTTTTTCCCTTGTTAATAAGATAAGAATAGTGTTGCCCGATAGATATGTGTGCTGTTTGTTTTTTGTGAAGCAAACGACATACAAATATTTTGCATTTTTCTCGTTCTCTTCTCTTTGCTTCTTAAAAGAGAAACGAAAGAAACAGCAAATCGTTCTTTTCTTTTCTTTTTTTCTTACCAATCAAGTTGTTTGATATTTACATAAAACAAATCTTTCATGCAGAGAGAGTCAATAGATATTTCAAATTATCCAATGTTATTCGCAGCTCATCAACAACTTTATGATTATGCTGCACGTTTTTGTTTTGATGGATCATTATCATCTAATCCATATTCTTTATATACATTTCATCAACGATATGATCCTCGATATTGTGAAGAACCAAAACCATCTTATTCATATATTGGACTTATTGCTATGGCTATATTAAGTTCACCAGAACGACGACTTGTTCTTGCTGATATTTATCAATGGATATTAGATCATTATTCATATTTTCGTGCTCGTGGTCCCGGTTGGCGTAATTCAATTCGACATAATCTTTCATTAAATGATTGTTTTATTAAAGCTGGTCGTTCAGCTAATGGTAAAGGTCATTATTGGAGTATTCATCCAGCAAATTTAGCAGATTTTATTAGTGGAGATTTTCGACGACGTCGAGCACAACGACGTGTTAGAAAAAGTATGGGTTTATCCATACCTGAAGAAGAAGAAGAAGATGATGATGAAATTTTACCAATTAATGAAACAGAACATCATTTTCAAACGTAAGTTTAATAAAGAAAAAAAACAAAGAAATCTTTTATTTTAAAACAAAATTTCATTTTCTTTTAGTTCTATATCAAAGATTCCAGTAGATGATTTTCATTCTAATATAACTGATTTATCACAAACAAAAAATAGAATTATTCAATCTAATCGTTCACAACATTATTTTGATGATATACAACCAGTTGCCATATCTAATTTAGAAAAACATCTATCTCCAACACAAACAATTCATTTAAATCAAAATCCAATAAAAGAAAATCAACGAAAACGTTGTTTCGATGTTGATAGTCTTTTAGCACCTGAAGAACCATGTTTAATTAAACGAAAACAATGTCAGTTATATAGAAACACAGACATTCATAATCCATATTTGAAATCAAGCGGTTCTAATGTTACTGAAACATATGCTTAAATAAATGTGTATTCGAGTTTTTTAATGTCTTACTGCATAATATTAAATTTTTTTTTTCTTCTTTTTTTGAGTATAATCATTGATCGGATAGTGTAATCTTTTTTTCTTTTTATATAAAACAGCAGGACTCACCTATACATACCAATCAAGTCGGTTGATGAAAACATTAAAAAAAAAAAGAAAAGGAACGATGATTATCTTACATCTTATGTTCGTTTTCAATTGACCTGAACCAATAAAAAACTAATCGAGTGCATCTATCTGTCTCTCACTATATTAAATATATCTATGCATTAACACTCAATTATAAGAGACAACGATTAAGTTACTTTTGTTAGAATAGAAATGAACAACATGAAAATGATTGACAAGGTGCAAATACACACACACACAGTATGGGTGAGAAATCTTGCATAAAAAAAATATTCTTTAAATTTTATAACGTTATTTGTATAGATTGACAAAAGAAATAGTTGAATAGTATTGCAATACAATGATCATAACGACTTGGATTAAATACTAAATATTTTATATATTAGAATTTGTATATTAATCAATAAACGAAATTGAATTCGATGTGAAATAAACTTGAAGTATGACACGTCGACCTAATTATGTCAATAATTGAAGGTAGGGTTCAAGACATTCGAACAGTTGATTCTTGCCGTGAAGAATTCGATAAAGGATTTACAAATTAAATGATGTTTTTAAATTTAACAAAAGAAATTTTTTCTTTAAGATTTAAGTAAATATAACTTGATTAGGCACGAACGTCTTAGCACAATATATTCACTCATTTTTATGTCACTAACGAGGGAACGCTTTTGAGTCGGGACTTTGTGCATCTTGTAGGCCTTGATGAATTATGTCTACCGTAAAAAAAGTTCGTGCCCCTAGCTTGTTCCTAGTGACATAGCGATGTTTTAGTGAATTGTTTATATAATACCCGCCATT